ACATGTATGTGCATATATGTACATATAATATAGGAAAACGGCCAATTTTATATATGTCACATATATTGAAATCCTATTTCAAAACCTATATTAAAACATATATGTTTATATAGGTTCTTTCCATGTGGGTATAAAGCAACATCAGACGATCAAGAGCGTTTATTTTCTGAATATCAGACCAACGGCACGAACGTGAGTGTAATATTACTTTGATACAACAGTTTAATGAACAAGAATCTATTATTGAGTACTTTACATTTTAGTCATTTATATTGCCAGTTATTTACTAACTGAAAGTTACGGCTAACTGAAATATTCCCAAACGAAGCCACAGTCGAACAAACCACAGAGCGACTGAGAAACACAACCATGGCCTAATGGTTAGAGAGTCAGATTGGTTAAATGCAGAGGACAAATTCTGAGTTTGGGTTTCCAGACTTGTCCTTCACATGTCACTTTCACAATAGTTCCTGAATGAATCAGTGTTTTAAATCGGATGATAAAGTTAATGGCTGCATCCAAAATCACATATTTCCTTAGGCAAAAAACATAGCAGTGAAAACATGGATAGCTGGAAAATTTAGTCAATGGTGGGGAAAGAGTAAAGTAGAATTAAAGTAAATTCCTGTATACTACCAGTGGACTAGCCTACACAAAAATTCAGATACGCAGAATTAGAAACATCTGTTTTATGTCAATATTTTAATCAATATTTTCAAACAATGTAAGTTTCATAAGACTGTATATGAAAAACTATGAAAAAAAGTTAGCTACTCGATCAAAAGAGTTAACACAAGTACAAGCCAAGTATACTTTGAATACTTAATTATACTTTTAAGTATATCTCGATCAAAAGATTGAGTACAAGTACAGGACAAATATATTTGGAATTTTCTCTCAGTATAAGTCTCTTAAGTGTAATTTTAAGTATATTTTTGAGAAGTATATAAAATGTAGACTGAAAGTATGCTTTCTTATTTTTAGTTGAAAAGAAGTTTACTAATAGAACACTTGAATAAACGTATTGTTCGTAAGGGTAATTATTATCGTGTACAAGATCAGGTTCAGGTCCATGCTTATTTGATCTACTCTATAAGCTATTCTACCAGAAAGCTTGTTACTATATAACTTGAACATGTTAGTGTATAAGACAGTGTGTATGTTTTAAAAAAAAGTTTTTTAATAAGCTACTCGATCAACATAGTAAACACAAGTACAAGCCAAGAATACTTAGAATGCTTAATTATTCTTTTATCTATATTCTTTTATCCATATATTCTTTTATCTATATTCTTTTATCTATTCTTTTATCTATATCCTCTTTTAAATATATCTCCATCAACAAGTATAGGCCAAATTTCCTTAGACTTTTTTGTCAGTATAAGTCAAGTATACTTAAGTGCAATTTGAAGTATATTTCTGATAAGTACATAAAGTATATTTCTGAGAAGTACATAAAAAGTAGACTGAAAGTATACTTTCTTATTTTTTCGTTTAAAAGGAGTATACTGATAGCACACTTGAATAAACTTCTTTTTCGTAAGGGTTACATCCATACAGACACTCATTTATACTATATAGAACGGGCTTGTTTAGCGGTCGTGAAGTAATTACTTATTCAAAATAAGGTCTACTCAAGAGAGTATTTGATTTTTGGCCGTTGATTCATTTGCTGCGTCCCGATTCAGAGACTTCATCCTTCGAAGGCCGATTGCGTCACCGTGGCGAGACGAAGTCTGTCTCAATACAAAGACTCCTTCAAATGCGTCTTCGTTTTTACTTAAAGTACTTTTTCTAAACTCTTAAAACAGCAACACACCTACATCACACAATTACTCAATTAGCCAACTAGTTAATAAAACCACATTTTGTTCATTAAAGCAGCACTATGTAGTTTTTGCTCTCGGGGTTCCCCTACAGTTGAGAAACAGTATTGTCTTCTACTACGGTAGTAAAATCTGTCATGGTTACACCAGGGGATACACCGATACACGTGCATTTGTTGACAAGCCGATACTGTCTTGAGTTCTCGCGAGTTCTCATGTCTTGGGCAGACTGCCAGCATTGCGTGTGAAATGTCTTCATCCCAGGTACATTGGCATATATTTCAGCATGTCATATGGTTTTTATTTTTTTCAAGCACCAAAAGATCGTGTAGCTCACGTTTACAAGCCAGCGTCATTATAGTAGCCAATTGGCTACATAATGGATATGCTAATTCAATTCAATGTTTGTGTGGTAGGTAATAGCCATGTATCGTCAATATTATAATATCAAGCTACCATAGATGAATCTGCAAATTTGAAAAATCGATTTGCATTATAGCCTGAGGCAAGACACTTTCACCAGAAAAATAAATAAACAAACATGACTATCATGAAGATAAATGGAGGACCAGATAGATTCCGTAACATGGCCAGGCAGACAACAAATTCGAAAAAAATAGAGATAGTATGCAAGCAATATATTTACTATTCCAACAGCATGACGGCCAGGTCAGCATCAGTCGGGAAACCCTCCTCATCCTTTAGCTCACGCCAGCGAGCGAATGGACCAATATTGATCCTCGTCCGGCCTTTTATTTTGTCTCTTTCTAGTCTCCTCCAACAAAACCCTTGCCTTCTTCGTTTTAGTTGCTACTTCGGCCATGACAACAACAGACAGACGGCAAACAAACGCTAGTTGGGCTCTCACATCAGAATTTGAGGAAGTGGGGGAAGTGAGGTATGCCGTAAAGCAGTTGAATTTTGTAGTTCTTTTTGTGCTCGGGTTACTACCCGAACCCTGCAGTTACGTAGTGCCAGTAAAAGACGTCTATGCCAGGCTATGGCAGACGTGTCATTTAACCTATTGTAAGTCGATGTACCATCTCAAGGGTCTTGGAAATATATTATGAAGGTTGAAAAACTACATAGTGCTGCTTTAAATACCAAGTCTACATTTAAAAATTGCAAAAGAAAACATTTTCTACATGTTTTTCTGCTTAATATTTATTTTAGGTGTTTCTGGTATTACAGGAATATCATTAGAGGACGATGAACATCTGCTCTATTCTGAGAGAAACACAATCACTTATGATGAAATATGAGTTTAACTCGCTCAGTTTCACTGTTAGACTTCAGTGAATTGAGACTGTTGAGGCAGTTTGTTGCATAAATCAGGAGTTCAGGAGCTTCTCCAGGTTTCTGTAAGTACCAGGCTAAACGATCTCCATCACTATCCCTGTACACATTACTGCTGGTTTTACAGTTGATATTCACAGTTCCTCCTGGTTGTTCTGCTGACGCCTTGGGAATCATTTTGACCATGCTTCAATATTCGACGCTTTAGGCACCCTTTAGCGTCAGTTACATGACGTGATCCTAGGGCGTCATCTTGCTGACGCTTTACCTTTAACGTCAGTTAGATGACGCTATCTAATCCTAACCCTACCCCAGACCTAAACCTACCCGCGTCATCTAACTGACGCTTAGGTAAAGCGTCAGTAAGATGACGCCCTAGGATCACGTCATGTAACTGACGCTAAAGGGTGCCTAAAGCGTCGAATATTGAAGCATGGTCAAAATTGTCATTTTAGTGACGCCTTGGGGTGAGAATGCGTTGGCTGTTATTGAGGGACTCTGAGTGACGGTGATCTGTCCTCTACACTCTGAAACACACAACAAGAAAATCATCAGAATAAATGAATGATCTTTGCTAAAACAAGTAAATGTAAAGTAGTAAATGCAGTGAAAGTGAGAGTCACCGTTGAGGATCAGCAGCAGAGAGCAGAAGATCAGTGTGTGTGTCGTCATCTTTACTGGGAATGAGTGAAGCTGAAGGACAGAGATGTGGGATTCACAGTCGGACAGACGCTCTGATATTGAGCTTCAGTCGCAGGGGAGGGACACACACATTCAAAGCGGTTTCCTCTCTAATGTGACACAGCCACTGACAGAAGAGCAGAACTGAGACACATCACATTTAAAACCTTCATTTCCCCTCATCAAACACTCAACTCATATTAGTTTGCATCATTGTTATTCACGTTCAGCAACGGCACAGAAATGGATGTTGGGAGAAAGTAAACATGAGGATGAGGAATCGAAGGATGAATTATTTGTATATTATAATCTTCTTAATCACTCGATCGTCCCTTTAAAGCATCATCAGCTGCGCTCAAGGAATTTGTCCTCGTGTTTTTAAGTTTGGTTAAGAAATTCATAATAAATAACATTAATGTCCTGTTGAAATATGTGAGATGTATGATTGATTTAAACTGCAAAGGAAAAACATAAATGAAAATGATTGTGACAGATGTGAAGGGGAGAGTTCATACGCATGTCAGTTTCTTCTTCTGCATGATACACCTGTGCATCCTTCATTTGTCTGAATCTCTGTTAATGATGAAAATGGAGCTGCATATGAGTGACAGAGGCATTATGACGAACTCCGCATTGGCAGAGGTCATCTCAGAGGTCAGAGGTCATCTCAGAGGTCACAGGTCAAGATGAAGTTGTGACAGCGCTTGATGGCTCTGAAAACACAATTTTACACCATAAATTAACGTTTAGTAATTCTCCAAGAACACTAGCATCACACCTCAGTGTTTAGATACATATTTCTGTGCCTTTATTACTTCATGATTTGACTTTTTCACTATGAAAATGAAAGTCTATTATTAATAAGGTGGTAACGGACAAACTGAAATCACTCGATCTCAATCATGTCTCTGATATATAAAAGCAAAAAATCTCACAGCTGAGCAGATTCACTCAGTCCAGATTACAACACATTTTTATTCTCCCTACAGAAAGTAGAAATATATCTACTATATTCCCTGCAGAAATAACTAAACAATTTATAGTGTAAAAGAAGGAAAAGACACACATAATAATAAAGATCAATAAAAACGAGTCTGACAGAGACTCTGACAGAGACATTGATGGAGTTTTTAGTTATTTCTCTCAAGTAAGTCTTTGACTTCTGACCTGTTGAATTATTAATTATTAGTGTCAGATTAATTTAGATGGTTTTATTTCAGATGCAAGTGTGACGATGTTATTTCAGATCCTCCTTTGAGCAGCTGCAGTTTCAGTTCAGTCACTGTGACTCTGACTGACCGAGGTTTTTGTACGACTCTTTATCACTGTGTGAACACACCACCACTGTGATAACTCTGACAGTAATAATGTCCAGCATCTTCAGTCTGGACTCCACTGATGCTCAGAGTGAAATCACTGTTAGATCCACTGCCACTGAATCTAGATGGAGTTCCTGACTGGAGTTTTTTTACATAACGAATCAGGAGTTTAGGAGCTTCTCCAGGTTTCTGTAAGTACCAGAATAAATAATCATCCTCATCACCATCCCTGAGTACATCACTGCTGGTTTTACATTTGATATTCACAGTTCCTCCTGGTTGTTCTGCTGTTATTGAGGGACTCTGAGTGACGGTGATCTGTCCTCTACACTCTGAAACACAAGAAAATACACTCAAAACTTTGACAATATACTTGAAGAAATGAAGTGATATCAAACTTGTGCTCCACAAACCTTGAGCAAACGCTGTGAGAGTCCAGATGAAGATGATGATGAAGGTCATGTTGATGAAGATTGTTGTGTGTGTCAGTGATGAAGTGTTAAACTCACAGCACTATAAACACTCTCACACACTGAAGATCTGATCAATATGCAAACACACTCCACATCATTTCCCTGAAGACAGTCACTCAATAACAGACACAACACGCAATCACTGAAGTGAGAACAGAGTCAAAATGAATGTTTTTCATAATATTGTATCCTCTACAATAGTCAAAATGTTAAAAATGATATCATTCAATTCAGTTCTGATAACATCAACAAGACCAACTTCAGTATATTAATCTGAATATCTGAATATGAGCAGATCCGGATCCAGACTCAAATCACTGAAGCTTTTCTATAGTAAAGTGACATCACAGCCTCATTTTCATTCCTGTCTACAAATAAAAATGTTGCTACCCTGAGAAGTTCGTACTTACGAGGTGGGAAGTCTGTTTACGACGGCAGGAGCGTTCAAGTCATTTTCGTCGGAGTAAGATGGCGGTGTACTTTCTCTTAATTAATTACACAAAAATACAGCAAGGTTCTACTCTAGTTCTAGAAAATGAAGAACAAAGAAATGTGTATCAGTTGTGCTTTGTTTTTGTTTTTTTATTAATTTATGAAGCCTCTGCAAACTTTGTTACATATTACATTTTTATATTATAACGCCATCATATTCTGTGCTGGTAAATACTCTAAATAGAAAAGCCTTACAATATCACTGCTAAATACCTTTCAGTAGCTTTATGTGAGTAAAATATAGGCAATTTTTTTAAATGGCAGATGACTGGAAAAGTATTGGAAATTCAATGATCATATGATGTAGAGGACCGACTGAATACTGTGAAGTAAACCAGAAAGTGTAGGCTGTGCAAACGGTAATGCAACGCTTTTTTCACACAGTCTCATTTGTAATCTTATTAAAATAAGCCATTGAAGAGATCATGGATTTAATTACTTCCAGATCATTTGATTAGATTATTCACTTGAGCTTTCTCAATCTCTGTTCCATTTCGAGGGAACTCGCGATGCGTCACTTGACGCTTTGGGAACGCCCCCAGCGTGAATGCGTCTGAGCATCAATGTCAACTAGTCCAATGGAAAGAATGAGCGTCACGGGCGGGTGACGTCATGACCAGGAAGGGATAAAGGCTCACCCGGTGAAACGCGGCATTAGCTTCTGTGTCTCAGCAAGCGATCTGTGTTACTCTGTCTCTGTCTATTTATTGTTGTCTGTTGCATATATTTTGGATGAGTTATGGCGAAACAAATGTACAAACAGTGTGCTTCTCCCTGCCCGCGTTATTTAACGGGTGGGGACACACACGAGCTTTGTGTAGTTTGTTTGGGAGTGGAGCATGCGGTCTCAGCCTTCGAGGGGGCTGAGTGCCAGCATTGTGAGAAGCTTTCGCTTCGCATGCTCCGCTCTCGCCTGTCACTTTTCGAGGAAAGTGGCCAGGCTCGCGATTCTCAGGGTGCAGGATCCGCGTCTGCCGAGGCAGCGCGGAGAATGCATTCCTGTGGATCGCAAATAGGATCTCTTTACGGGGTTGGAGACGGGTCCGCGGATCTTTTCTCCTCCCTTTCCCGAGCGATCCAGTGCTCTCTCTCCGGTCTCGGAAGCCCGCGTTGCGGTCTCTTCCGCCCGGGGAGAGAGACCAATGCTTCAGTGCTCTACCTCCGAGGAGGTAGATGTGCTGGGCATTGAAAGTGAAAAACACAATCATGGGGGAAGTGGATTTGCCATCTCTTTCCCCAGCGTATGAGAAATATATAACCCTATATATATATATATATATATGATAGTTTATATATTATATATAAAATAAAGTGAATATATATAAAATATATATATAAAAAATAAGCTGGTGGAGGTGTTTACTAGGGCTGTAGATAAATTAAATATTTCATGGCCAGCAGAAATAAGGGGGCACTCGTTCTAAAAAATAAATAAATAAATTAAACGAGTTTCCTTCCCTCTATTTTTTCACCTCCATCACGGGGCCTTCCATTTTTCCCGGTCTGCACAGCGAGCTGTCTAGATCATGGAAAAAGCCTTACTCTTCTTGTCTTTTAGCCCCCACATTCATGTATATTCAGATATTTGGGGGTTAAGAGAGTATGGCTATGGGGCAATACCCCGGGTAGAACAGACACTTGCGAGCTATGTCTCCCGGTTCAGTATCGTCCCTGAAGGCGTCGGCTTCTCTCACTAAACCATTAAAGAAAACTATTTTTTAATCTAGTGGGAAAAGCATATATGGCAGTGGGTCTAGCATGAGCCTGCTTGCACACTATAGCAGTGCTGCAAGCATATCAGGCTGACCTGCTGTGGTATTTGGACAGAAGTGAGGGAGTTTGGCCCGATGGGGTTTGAGAACTCCGTCGGGCCTCAGATTTATCTCTCAGGGATGGCAGCCAAAGAAATGTGGTCACTGAGAGACACCTCTGGCTCAATTTGATGGGAATCATGGAGAAAGATACAAGATAATCTCTCCCTCGCTATGTCCAACCCACTGGGGCTGCTGGGCGTGAGCAGCTCCAGCCGGCTAGTTTCTCATACACAACACAGCAGCCAAAGCCTTCAAAGCAGAAGCCGGATCCGAGGACCGTTCTTCATGCTGAGAAGGCTGCGGCTCAAAAGAAAAGGTCTGGCGCCACGGCGTCAGACCGGTGAGGGCAGCCCCAACCGGGGTGGAATGGTGTACACCTCATTATACGGTGCCCTTTCCATCTCTGTGCCCTCAGGGGACCGTTCTGCCAACCCCGCCACCCTTGGTGCTTCGGGGCGCAGCGTTCTCCAGCGAGCTTCTGGCGCAGCGTCAACTCGACATTGCGTCGGACTTGCGCCCTCTGAGGGGGGTTCGAAAACAGTCAGTTCGGGTGGTTCCTGCCAGTATGTTTCAGGTCCCCGAACTGGCTGTCTTTATTACACCAGAGGCCAGCCTCGAGGGGCTGGTTCCCTTGGTAGATTTTCTGGCAGCGCGAAAGCTACTGCCAAATATATCTCTATGGGTAATGGTAATCTCTCTGGTAATGGAGCAAGGGGTAAAGGCCCTGTTAGCAAAGAAAGCTATAGAGCAGGTGTACTCACCCGACATTGCGTCGGGTCTTTACAGTCGTTATCTCATTGTTCCAAAAAAGGATGGAGAGCAGCGTCACATACTAGATCTTCGTCTGTTGGAGTGTTTGGTGCTGGAACTCAAGTCCAAGATGCTGACACTCAAACAGATCGTGACTCAAATCAGATCCGAGGACTGGTTTGTCACGATAGATCTAAAAGACGTATACTTCCATATCTCCATCAGCAAAGGAGGTTCCTGAGGTTTTCTTTGGGGCAAAGAACACCAGTATCAGGCACTTCCTTTCAGTCTAGCTCTATCACCCCGCACATTCACGAAGTGTATAGACGCAGCTCTGGCCCCGCCAGGCTGCAGTGTATACGCATTCTGAATTGCATAGATGGCTGGCTGATTCTAGCGGAATCAGAACAGTTAGCGGTTCGGCACCGAGGTGTCGTTCTCGCTCATATGCAGATGTTGGGGTTGAGGCTCAAGGCCAAGAAGAGTGTGCTTTCTCCAGTACAGAGAACCACTTTCCTTGGTGTGGTATGGGATTCAGTGACGATGCGGGCCACTCTGTCGCCCGTTCGTGTAGCTGCTATCCTAACAGCCACAAAAGAGCTGAGGCTAGGCCAGTCACGCACTGTAAAACAGTTCGAGAGACTGTTGGGTCTTGTGGCAGTAGCGTCCAACGGGATACCTTTTGGCCTGCTGTACATGAGACCTTTGCAGTGGTGGCGCAGGACCAGAGGGTTCTCCCCGAGGGGAAACCCACTTCGTATGATCAAGATCACGCGGCCGTGCCTTCGTGCCTTGGTTATATGGAGGAAACACTGGTTCTTAACCCAGGGTTCGGTGTTGGGAGCTCTTTGCCATCGAGTTGCTATCTCGACAGATGCTTCCCTCACCGGCTGGGGAGCGGTATTGGAAGGCCGCTCAGCTCAGGGCTTGGGAGGAGTCATCATCTCGCTTGGCACATGAATTGCCTAGAGATGATGGTCGTCTTCAATGCGTTGAGACATCTCCTCCCAGACCTGAGGGGCCATCATGTGTTGTTCTGAAACAGTGACTGTTAGGCCTCAGGGCAGCAGCGTTCAATGTGATACCCTTTGACCTGCTGTACGTGAGACCTTTACAGTGGTGGCTCAGGACCAGAGGGTTCTCCCTGAGGGGAAACCCACTCCGTACGATCAAGATCACGCGGCAGTATCCCCGCGCCTTGGTTATATGGAGGAAACTCTGGTTCTTGACCCACAGACAACACGTTGGTGGCCTATTATTTTGGTCCCTCAGGAAATTACGCTGTCTGAGGGCAGTGTATATTCCAGGGGGGCCAGAATATTGGAGCAGACACCCTGTCGAGGCAGGGGCTGAGGCCAGGGGACTCCACCCCGAGGCGGTGGAGCAAATATGGGAGTTTTATGGCCAGGCAGAAGTGGATTTGTTCTCCTCTCAGCATACGACGCACTGTCCACTCTGGTTATCCCTCACTCAACCAGTCCCCTCGGGGCTGGTTGCTATGGCGCAGACGTGGCTGAGGCTACGTCTGTACGCATTTCCCCCTGTTGCTCTGCTCCCAGGAGTTCTGGAGTGATTCCGCCAGGATGGAATAAGCCTATTTAGTAGCACCACCCTGGCCGAGCTGAATTTGGTTTGCGGACCTAATTTTTCTCCTCGACGGACCTCCCTTGGAGGTCCCGATCAGGAGAGACCTTCTGTCTCAGGCAGGGGATGCAATATTGCACCCCCGGCAGGGGATTTGGAAACTGTGGGTTTGGCCTCTGAGGGGGCCCAACTCATAGAGAGTGGTCTCTCAACCGAGGTTGTTGAGACCATTCTAAGCTCCAGAGCTCCAGCTACTAGGAAACTATATGCGCTAAAATGGAAAGTTTTTTCTGTATGGTGTCACCGACATCAGTGAGATCCGGTTAACTGTTCTGTGAACACAGTACTCGAGTTCTTGCAGGAGCGCTTTACGTCAGGTTTATGTCCTTCCACACTTAAGGTTTACGTGGCGGCCATTGCGGCTTACCACGCCCTGGTGGGGGGTACATCGTTGGGTCGAGACCCCCTGATTACACGTTTCCTTCGTGGCACATTGAGGCTGAGGCCTGCATCTCGCACTAGGGTGCCAGCTTGGGATTTGGCAATAGTTCTAGAAGGCCTGTCTAGGGCTCCATTCGAGCCCTTAGATTCGGTTTCAGAGAAATTTCTTACCCTTAAGACTATCTTTCTGCTAGCTATTTCGTCCCTTAAGAGAGTTGGAGACCTTCAGGCTCTTTCGGTTTCCCCCACTTGCCTTGAGTTTGCACCGGGGATGGTCAAGGCATTCTTTTATCCAAAACAGGGATACGTCCCTAAGGTGCCGACCTTGATTCCGAGGCCTATCGTGCTGCAGGCTTTCTGTCCTCCTTTTACATCTGCGGACCAGGAAAGGCTGAACCTCTTGTGTCCAGTGCGAGCACTGGATACTTATGTTCATCGGACATCGTCTATGAGGAAGTCCGACCAGTTATTTATTTGCTTTGGATCACCTAAGAAGGGTCTTCCTGCTTCTAAACAGACGGTTAGTAAGTGGATAGTTGAGGCTATTTCACTTGCATACGAGTACTCTGACCAGCCGTGTCCTTTGGTGGTCAGAGCTCACTCTACGAGGGGTATGGCGGCCTCTAAAGCCTTACTATTTGGAGTTTCTCTCCAAGACGTTTGTGATGCGGCAGGCTGGTCCTCACCGCTCAAATTCGTCAGGTTTTACAGTTTGGACCTGGATGCTGCCCCAGGTTCTCAGGTGCTTAGTGCTTAGTTCCAACAGACTGACACTCAGGTACTTGGAATTCTGGCGTTTTGGGTATTCTCGTTCCCAAAGCGTCAAGTGACGCATCGCGAGTTCCCTCGAAAGGGAACGTCTCAGGTTACTACTGTAACCATAGTTCCCTGAGATAGGGAACGAGACGATGCGTCACCCTGCCATACTTCCTGCATCCCTGTGATCGGCTTGCTTCGACTTTTTGAAGCTAATGCCGCGTTTCACCGGATGTGCTCTTATGCCTTCCTGGTCATGACGTCACCCGCCCGTGACGCTCATTCTTTCCATTGGACTAGTTGACATTGATGCTCAGACGCATTCACGCTGGGGGCGTTCCCAAAGCGTTGTAAGGACTGGGCTAAAAGGGTGAATCTGAATAACTAAATACATCCTGCTAAAGACCCAAAAAGACTGAATGCAACACACACACACACACTCTCTCAGGAATGGCCAGAGTCATAAAATGCTTGAAACATTCCATGCCCTCCCCCATCTCAGAACTCAGAGATAACAGAACTCTAACAAACACACACACGAACCAACACACACACACACATAATGGACCTTTACATTACACGCATAAAACGAGCCATTACCAATTGTATACGATATATTCCTGTATGTCTGTGTGTTTCCCAGTCCATGGTAGTTTAGAAATGATCTCCTAGCGTATCAGTGAAACTCTTGAGAGTTTAAAAGTTATGTATTAAGATGTATCTTCATATTCCAATTATGTGTAAATGTTGTGTTTGGTACCGTTTTAATTATCTCGTTCCAACTGATTTGGTCAGATACAGAAGATTACAGTAAAATGTATGTTTTCTATGTTTTTATCATCTTGTGGAATGATTCTGACAAATTCTGACTGGTCATAAAAGAGGCGGACACGGCCATAGTTTAACTTTGACAAGACAAAGAGAATTTGGCCGCCAAAAGTTTCGTTGAATGTCATTGGCCAGTTCGCACCTCAGAGGTGTGGACTCCAGTTCCTCTAAAGAGGACTGAACCTCCCTCTGGACTCTCTCTTGCAGTCTGACCTTCTCAGAGAAACATGTGATGCTAGCGATCTCCTCCTGGAGATCTGATCCCACCATGGATCTTTTCTTTTGTTCGTCTAAAGTTCGTCTCTTCTTTAACTTACTCCCGAGTTCGTCTCCCAGGAAAGGAAATGGACTTTGCCGAAACTATTTCCTCGGGTAACGTCACCTCAAAGACTTTAAGCCTTTCAATGGTGTTTTCGTGTTGTTTCAGAAAGGTTGATGTCGAGGTGAAATTGTACCAGCTCTGTCTCTCTCCCTCGCTCTCTCACCAACTCTCTCACCAACACTCTCACCAACTCTCTCACCAACTTTCTCCCTTTCTCTCTCTCTCTCCAACTCATGTTTACATGGGTACCAATTGTCTAAACGCCCCGCGTCGTCTTAGTTTGTGTTTAATGTTTGTAAATACATGTATCATTGTAGTAAATGCTTAAGTAGTTCAGCTTCATTAAATACATTATATCCTTTTGATTGACTCATTGCCTGTTGCTCATAACCCAAGTCACTGATATGCTTCGATAACGTTACGAGCTCTTTACAGAAATACCTCAGACGGGTATGTGTAAACTTTATAGAGCAAGAAAGCTAATTCTTGTGGCCACAGAATTTGTTTTCACAACTCTATAAATTAATTGAGCTAATTAATTTTACCTGTCTTGTAAAACGTGGTCTGTATAATTAGTTACAATTCATTTGTGATTAATTGTGGGGATACACATGTATGCACGCAGGTAAAATGACAAAGCCTCCCTTAATGGGAGATTTATTAACATGTAAGACTGGGCTGATCCAAATCTGTATGAATAATTATTAGTTATTAATTATTAATTATGACATGCAAATTCCCCATTGATCAGACCCAAGTAGAGTCTTTACAGCGTCAAGTGACGCATCGTCTCGTTCCCTATCTCAGGGAACTATGGTTACAGTAGTAACCTGAGACGTTTTATTGAACAGAGCGTAATCCAAAGACGTAATCCAGAAAACAGGCCAGAGGTCTTAAACACCGGGTAATCAGTCCAAACTATAACAGGATCACAGGCAAAAAGGAAAATCCAAGGACAGGCCGAGATCAAAACCGGGAATAACAGACAGAACGCTCAGATTTGCCGTACAAACACTAAACAAGACTTCGCAGGGAATGAATGTGAAAACCAGGCTATTATAGGGTGAGTTAAACACGGTAATGACAGGTGAAGGTGATCGTGGATGATAGTCTGAACTAAGGATTATGGGGAATGGCGTCTGTGGATGTGAGGTACTGTCTGTGGTGGAGCCCTCTTATGGTAATCCTACAGCGTCACACATGATATAAACATCTTCACTTTTATTACTGTAATGTTTATAAAATAAATGTAAAAAAAATATGGTGACATGAATATGCTGTTTTAAATAGAGGACAGCTCCTGTTGGGTAATCTATCATTTTTGAATAAATGTTTATATTAGTGCTAATTTCTCCATACATAGATATTAATATAAAATATTATAATCTGCTCTGAAATTGAGGGATGTGTTTATATGATGCTGTTAATATCTGAATTATGAGGGATTAACTTAATAAATCAACAGACTTATTAAACTGGTCAAGCAGAACGTGTGTATGATTCTGATGATGCAGTTTAGAAAGAAGAATATATTAAATTATAAATGCAGAAAATAAAAAATGTGGTGAAGGATTGAAGAATATCCACTGAAGTGAAAATCAAAAGTGACTGAATTTCTACATGAAGGATGTAATAGAAACAGGAGACAAATACAGTCTGACTTCTGAAAAATCACAATCAAAAATATTAAAAACTGATGAAGCTCAAGATCATCATGTGTGTGTGTGTGTGTGTGTGTGTGTGTGTGTGTGTGTGTGTGTGTGTGTGTGTGTGTGTGTGTGTGTGTGTGTGTGTGTGTGTGTGTGTGTGTGTGTGTGTGTTTGAGCAGCTGCAGTTTCAGTTCAGTCACTGTGACTCTGACTGACCGAGGTTTTTGTACGACTCTTTATCACTGTGTGAACACAAAATCACCCACACAATCACCATCAGAATCTGGTCTGCAATGTAAACTCTGACAGTAATAATGTCCAGCATCTTCAGTCTGGACTCCACTGATGCTCAGAGTGAAATCACTGTTAGATCCACTGCCACTGAATCTAGATGGAGTTCCTGACTGGAGGCTGTCTGCTGCATAAATCAGGAGTTTAGGAGCTTCTCCAGGTTTCTGTAAGTACCAGGATAGAGGCTGAACACTCCAACCCTGGTAAACTTCAGGACTGGTTTTACAGGATATAGTAACTGTGTCTCTGAGATGAACAGGTTTCACTGCAGGCGTCTGAGTGACTGTCATTTCACCAACTGATTCTACATCAAGAAGAATAAATAGGCCTAAACATTCAGAATTACATATTTGGATAATATTTCTAACACAAATGATCAATTGGATTAGCAGTTTAACTTCATATTTCCTCACCTGTGAAACAGCTGGAGAACATCCAGATGAAGATGATGAAGATGAAGCTCATGGTTGCTGTTGGTTCAGATTCTCAGTGTTCAGACTCAGAGTTATAAATCCTCCTGAAGCGTGAGCTGCGATGCAAATAATCTATATGTAAATCTGTGTAAGGATTCCAACACATGATGCACATAAATCATAACAGTGTTTGGGATATTTTTCCATGTTACGAGTCATAAACATTTATTCCTGTGTCTGACGCTACAGGCTTTCTGATGATTCAAATGAGAAGCATCACTAAGATAAACAAGTTTGTCACTGTGAACTTCATTAGAGGTGTAAAGGTCATTCCAGAGGTCATAGGTCATCAGAATGTATTACAATTGCTTTAATTAATAATTAATAATGCATTGAGATGAATGATAGATTCAGTAGTTTTGATAAAACAGTTATGAGTAATATCTTATCTTGATAAACTTCGAGGGAAAGACAAAGCTTAAAAAAGCTCAAAAACATAGATGTGTAAATCTTTGGGTAGATGGAGATCTGATTCAAAGTCTCATATTCAAATAAAAGAAAATCAGCTCTATCCTAAAAGCCCTTAAAAGTCATCCACTCGCCCAAATAAACAATGATTTCAGTAAAACAACAGTATTTCATCTTGTAAAAAATAACTGCAGTTTCCACACAACGAAGCGCTTTATTTCAGTGGCCGAGCAATAACATCTTTCTGAATGTTGAAGTGTGTTTGCTGGAGACTGAAGTGTGTGTGAGAGATCTGTCTTCTGCTCGTGTGAGACTCAGACGCATCGCAGGATTAATAATGAATGATCCAGAAACAGTGAATGGTTACAGACAGACTGATCGTGGGACGGCGGAGCGTCTGATCGTGTTAAATGTGTTTCTCTCTTTCACTGTCATTTTGCTCTGAATCCAGTAAATCTGTGACTCTTGTAGATGATGATCTAAACAGCGGCTTTATGGAAGATTGTTAATAAACTATTCAAGCAACAACATGTTTATGATTCACTTTACAGCGTGATTGTATGATTAAGAAGGAAAAATAATCATGCTTTATAAAAACACATGAACAACCACGAGAATAGATAAACCAACAATTATCAAAAAATATATGATCAAAATCATTTCTTATTATCTTCAGTAATATTAATGAAGTGCAGCAAAATTGATATTAAGTTAATTTGTGTTTTTTCATTGTTGAGCGTGTGTGTGTGTGTGTGTGTGTGAGCAGCTGCAGTTTCAGTTCAGTCACTGTGACTCTGACTGACGGAGGTTTTTGTACGACTCTTTATCACTGTGTGAACACTGGACCACGGTTGCTACTCATACAATAATAATGTCCAGCATCTTCAGTCTGGACTGCACTGATGGTCAGAGTGAAATCTTTGCTAGATCCACTGCTGCCACTGAATCTAGATGGAGTTCCTGACTGGCGGCTGTTTACACGATAGATCAGGAGTTTAGGAGCTTCTCCAGGTTTCTGTAAGTACCAGGACACACAGGCTGGGCTGCAGGCTGTATCATCACTACTGAATTTACAGCTCATCTCTACAGTTTCTCCTGGTTTAGCAGTTTTCACTGAAGGAGTCTGAGTTGCTGTGATCTGAGCTCTACATCCTGAAAAACAATTCATTTATCAGTCCATAAAGTATATATTATTTATTTAAAGTATATAGCTCTGTTAAAATTATATATTTGAATTGATTTATATAAAAAATAAACGTTGCACCTTGTAGTATAAAGCAGTATAAAAGTGTCCAGATGAAGATGATGATGAAGGTCATGTTGATGAAGATTGTTGTGTGTGTCAGTGATGAAGTGTTAAACTCACAGCACTATAAACACTCTCACACACTGAAGATCTGATCAATATGCAAACACACTTCACATCATTTCCCTGAAGACAGAAGAAACACTGTTTTGCCTTTTAGTGTCTTTGCTAATAAACTTCTATTTATCATTTTCAGAAACAGACACTCATGATTTACTTCATGTTATTTTGGGTCGATCTTCTCGCTCTAAACACTGTTTTAATGATCAGTTTCATTCAGACTTTGATGTCGAGAGCATTAATACCTGTGCTGTATTTATATCATCCATGATACTGTATAACAGGTCAAAAGTCATCCAATAGAGAATGACCATCTAAATCTGGCTGAAGATTTCATTATAGAGAAGGGCAATAGAATTAGATGATTTTATATCACATGTGTTTATAAATGTGATGACTGCATTTCAGGACTGATTATGCAGTTTTTTAGATGAAGATTTTGTGGCTCTTTTTTGATCAATAGTGGTTTAGAAGATCTGCTCTTGAGTCTCGTGTGTGTGTGTGTGTGTGTGTGTGTGTGTGTGTGTGTGTGTGTGTCGTTGGTCTATTTCTCTGCTGGTGTGTGTGTTCATTTGAGTGTGACGGAGGTTTTTGTACGACGCTTTCACTAGAATGAAACACTGTGGTACACTTTCGGTGGAGGAACTAAACTGACGATCAGTAAGTCTCTTCTATTCTCTAAAAATGATTTATTTTTTATTTATTTGTTTTGTTTTTAGCTTATTTTAGGAAGCATTTGGCAACAAGATAAAAAAAAAGTTTTTTAAAAAATGTACTGCAATATTTTATGGCGAATTTGATTGTTTCACAATTTCTTTAAATTTGTCTGTTATTTTACAAAAAACACTTATTCTGTGAGATTTCATCACGTTTATCTTAGCATATTTCATATCGTTTTTAAAATTGTCTTTTTACATGATTAATTTCATATATTATAATTGCTAACATTCATTGTTTTTTAATATATTGATTGCAATATTTGGTAACGCTTTAGATTACAGCCCGGAAAGTAATGTGTAATTAAGAGGAATTTACTGTGTAACCTTCGGTAATTATAGTATAAAGTACTTACATGTAAGTATGAGGGAACAATATGTAAAGTTTGGGGAATAAAGGGGTAACAACCAGGAGAATTAAAAAATATATTTATACTGTAAGTATTATAGAAATAAGGGATATTTATTCTACTATTATGATACAACAATCTTACAATTGGGAGCAATATAGCGAGAACACTGCGTACCTTTTTGTAATAATTGTGTACCAATACATACTGTATAGGCTTTTTAAAAATGACAGGGTACATATCTATGCATTTATACCATTTTTTATTTTTATTTATTTTTTTCGCAAAAGTGCAGATGTTTAAGTTTGGGCTTACTTAATTTTAAATACTGGGAAATATATCTTGTTTCATGTGGTTACAGGGTAAGTGGTGCTTGTATAATAAATAAAGGTTTCCGAGTCAGTGATATAAGATTGTGTATGCATTTTTATTGTTACCCTGTAACTACATGGAACAAGAGGGTAACAAGCACCACTTTAATTTACAGCCCGCAATGTCACACTTACCCTGTAACTACATGGAACAAGGGGGTAACAAGCACCACTACATGAAACAAGAGTATCTTTCCACAATATTTAAGCAAAAGTTGCAATAGTTTTCATTTTTAGTGCACTTTTGTTAAAAAGATTACTTTATTTATAAAGCCTATACAGTATGTGCTGGTTCACCATTTTTTCAAAAAGGTACGCAGTGTATGTTCTTGCTAAATTGCTCCCAAAATGTAAGATTGTTGTATCATAATAGTAGAATAAGTACCCCTTAGTTCTATAATACTTACAGTATATTCTTCTGGTTGTTACCCCTTTATTCCCCAAACTTAAAATATTGTTCCCTTATACTTATATTGTAAGTACGTTACAGGTACACTATAATTACCGAAGGTTACGCTGTAAAATCGCTTTAATTACGCAGTACTTTCCGGGCTGTAATCTAAAGCGTTACCAAATATTTTTGTAATGTTATATTGAATGTAATATTGTGATATTTTCTGTCATATTCAGGTTTTTTTTTAAGTACATAGTTGTGTCCATAATTCTTGGTAAATGTAACTGCTAATACTTTTTGAAATCCATGACACAAAAGTTTGATTATACGGATAAAATAATTATATTTTTTAGGCGTCACCATCAGACAAATAGAAAGATTTGAAAAATTCATCATTTGAACTGAAATTTGCTGATCATTATGATTGTGAGAGTCTTAAGAATTTTTCAAAATACAATTAATAATGAAATGATTATTCAGAAAATATCAAATTACTGTAAGATTCGCTGTATATCATGTCTGCTTTACAGAACTGATTTATATTTAGAATTACATGATACATATTTGAGTATTAGTGAATATTGATTTAACTGAGAATATTTTTAAACTGAATTCAGGATATTTGTGGTTTATGAATGAAAGCAGTTATGTGGAATTTCTGTAAAGATATAATGATTGTGATTTCTACTACATGACCGAGTCTGACATCTAACTAACTATGTGTGTGTGTGTGTGTGTGTGTGTGTGTGTGTGTGTGTGTGTTTCAGCCGGGCCCTCCGTGTCTCCCTCCGTGTCTCTGCTGGTCTCTGGAGACTCCTCCGCTCTGCTCTGCCTGCTCAGCTCTTACTCTCCACAGGGGGCGACGGTGAGCTGGACGCTGGACGGGTCAGAGGTCACCGAGGGGGTTCAGACCAGCGCAGAGAGCGAGCGGGGCGGTCTCTACAGTCGCAGCAGCGTCCTGAGCCTCAGCAAAGCACGCTGGGAAGGCAGAGAGCACTTGGTCTGCAGAGGAACACATGCCGGAGCTGCTCACGAGGCCTCGTTCCTCAAGAGCTCCGAGTGCTGATGTTTCTCCAGTGAAGACCAGCGTATCTGAGCGGCACGTGATTTACAGCTCAATACTGAAGCAGTCTGTCAATGTGCTGCCATTGCTGTTCATTCAATAAAGCTTCATCTGAACGCAAGCTTACATGTGTGTGTGACTGCATCATTGATCAGTGTGTCGTTCCTTCAAAGTCCTGCACTAAAGTTTCAGCTGCTTTTGATTGATTGTAATAGTTGAGAACAGCTGCATTCAGCAGTAAATGTCAAATGAAGCTCTTGGGGTTTGAACATGGTCACTGGAGACGAGCTGCTCTATTCTGAGACCGTCACAATCACTAAACCTGACAATGCAAATGAGATTTTCACCTCAAACTCACAGTTTCACTCTTTTACTGGTTCAACGCTCTGAACTGGAACAGTTTCACTTCTGCTGATGGAGGAATGAGTTATGAATAATAATTTCATTAGTTTGAGATGAAGGAGCTTGAAAAAGGTTCAAGAACATATTTATAGGTTACACTTAGGAGTTTAATGTACAAAAAAAAAACCCACAAAATAATGCGCCACTGTTGTTTGTTTGATTTATATCAGTTTACACACTCAGTTTTCTCTGATTCTGAGAATGTTAGAGTCAAACTCGTCTGTCACAGACAGATCACAGTCTAATAGAGTTAATTTCAGTCATAAGTCATTTTGTGCAAATGTGTAGTTCCTGTGTTTGTCCTCTGAGTGTGTGTGTGTGTGTGTGTGTGTGTGTGTGTGTGTCATTTATTTACAGTAATAAATCCTTTGACTTATTAAACTGCTCAACATATATTAAGATGCTGATGGTGCAGTTTATAAAAAAAACAATATATTAAATCATCAATGCAGAAAATCAAAAATGTTTTGAATGAATTGAAAAATATCCACTGAAGTGAAAATCAAAAGTGACTGAATTTCTACATAAAGGATGTAATAGGAAACAGGAGGCAAATGTCAGTCCTGAACAATCACAATCAAAAAGGTCAAAAACTGATGAATCTCAACAAAGTGATGTTCACTAAGATCATATTGAGTCGTTTCTTCATGTTGAGTGTGTGTGTGTGTGTGTGTGTGTGTGTGTGTGTGTGTGTGTGTGTGTGTGTGTGTGTGTGTGTGTGTATGTTTGAGCAGCTGCAGTTTCAGATCAGTCACTGTGACTCTGACTGACGGAGGTTTTTGTACGACTCTTTATCACTGTGTGAACACATTACCACTGTGATAACTCTGACAGTAATAATGTCCAGCATCTTCAGTCTGGACTCCACTGATGGTCAGAGTGAAATCACTGTTAGATCCACTGCCACTGAATCTAGATGGAGTTCCTGACTCAAGGTTGTTTGTCCAATAAATCAGGAGTTTAGGAGCTTCTCCAGGCTTCTGTAAGTACCAGGCTAAACGATCTCCACCGTACACATCACTGCTGGTTTTACATTTGATATTCACAGTTCCTCCTGGTTGTTCTGCTGTTATTGAGGGACTCTGAGTGACGGTGATCTGTCCTCTACACTCTGAAACACACAACAAGAAAATACACTCAAAACTTTGACAATATACTTGAAGAAATGAATTGATATCAAACTTGTGCTCCACAAACCTTGAGCAAACGCTGTGAGAGTCCAGATGAAGATGATGATGAAGGTCATGTTGATGAAGATTGTTGTGTGTGTCAGTGATGAAGTGTTAAACTCACAGCACTATAAACACTCTCACACACAGAAGATCTGATCAATATGCAAACACACTCCACATCATTTCCCTGAAGACAGTCACTCAATAACAGACACAACACACAATTACTGAAGTGAGAACAGAGTAGAAATGAATGTTTTTCATAATATTGTATCCTCTACAATAGTCAAAATGTTAAAAATAATATCATTCAATTCAGTTCTGATTACATCTACAAGACCAGCTTCAGTATATTAATCTGAATATCTGCTGTGAGACTTTGAGAATATTTTTACTGTAGTTGGAGTGAAACGTCACTGTTAATCCCCAAATTTTACACCAAATCCATGTGTGTTCCTGCAGTTTATGAACATGATCATCACACACACGAGTCAATTTTCAATTCAATTCAATTCAGAAAGCTTTATTGGCATGACAAAAACAGCATCAAAACAGCATAGAAAATGATTTTGAACATTTAGCACACAAAAATAATAATATATTTACATTTATCTGACGCTTTTATCCAAAGCGACTTACAATTGCCATATATGTCAGAGGTCGCACGCCTCTGGAGCAACTAGGGGTTAAGTGTCTTGCTCAGGGACACATTGGTGTCTCACAGTGGATTCGAACCCGGGTCTCTCACACCAAGGGCATGTGTCTTATCCACTGCGCCATCACCACCCCGATAATACTGATATCATAAAACAATAATAATAAAATAAACAAAGATTAATAAATAAAATAATAAGGATTTAGAAATAATTGATATAAAAACAAAAACAAACAATATTGAACATTAGAGACATGTGTGTAGGTCTTAGGCTATGAGTGAGTGTGTGTGTAGGTCTTAGGCTGTGAGTGAGTGTGTGTGTAGGTCTTAGGCTGTGAGTGAGTGTGTGTGTAGGTCTTAGGCTGTGAGTGAGTGTGTGTGTAGGTCTTAGGCTGTGAGTGAGTGTGTGTGTAGGTCTTAGGCTGTGAGTGAGTGTGTGTGTAGGTCTTAGGCTGTGAGTGAGTGTGTGTTTATTGGATGTTTGCTGGTTTCTGGACGTCCCTCAGGATATGGCAGGATGCTACAAATTTTGCGCACAAATTTGAGCATTGGCTTCTTCGCCAAGAATGAAACAGAGTTTTTGGGTTGTTTGTATGTGTGAGAGAGACTCAGCGAGCACAGCCTGGCCATAGAGACGGGAGTGTGTGTGTGTGTGTGTGTGTATGTGTGAGAGAGACATTGGGGAAATATGCTATTAATTTTGGGGTAATAGTGGTCTCTGATGTGTTTATATTTTGGGCATTCTGTGAGGAAGTGCAGCTCGGTCTCCGTCACTCCCAGGGTGCAGTGCGGGCAGAGTCTGTCTCACACATACACACACACACACACACACACTCCCGTCTCTATGGGCAGGCTGTGCTCGCTGAGTCTCTCTCACACATACACACACACACTCCTGTCTCTATGGCCAGGCTGTGCTCGCTGAGTCTCTCTCACACATACACACACACACACACACACACACACACACACTCCCATCTCTATGGGCAGGCTGTGCTCGCTGAGTCTCTCTTACACACACACACACACACACACACACACACTCCCGTCTCTATGGACAGGCTGTGCTCGCTGAGTCTCTCTCACACATACACACACACACACACACTCCCGTCTCTATGGCCAGGCTGTGCTCGCTGAGTCTCTCTCACACACACACACACACACACACACACACACTCCCATCTCTATGGCCAGGCTGTGCTCGCTGAGTCTCTCTCACACACACACACACACACACACACACACACACACACACACACACACACACACACCTCTATGGGCAGGCTGTGCTCGCTGAGTCTCTCTCACACACACACACACAGACACAGACACAGACACAGGCACAGGCACAGGCACAGGCACAGGCACAGGCACGCGCACGCGCACGCGCACGCGCACGCGCACGCGCACGCACACGCACACGCACACGCACACGCACACGCACACACACACACACACACACACACACACACACACACACACACACACACACACACACACACCCGTCTCTATGGGCAGGCTGTGCTCGCTGAGTCTCTCTCACACATACAAACACACACTCCCGTCTCTATGGCCAGGCTGTGCTCGCTGAGTCTCTCTCACACATACACACACACACTCCCGTCTCTATGGCCAGGCTGTGCTCGCTGAGTCTCTCTCACACATACAAACACACACTCCCGTCTCTATGGCCAGGCTGTGCTCGCTGAGTCTCTCTCAAACATACACACACACACACACACACACACACACACTCCCGTCTCTATGGCCAGGCTGTGCTCGCTGAGTCTCTCTCACACACACACACACACACTCCCGTCTCTATGGGCAGGCTGTGCTCGCTGAGTCTCTCTCACACACACACACACACACACACACACACTCCCGTCTCTATGGCCAGGCTGTGCTCGCTGAGTCTCTCTCACACATACAAACACACACTCCCGTCTCTATGGCCAGGCTGTGCTCGCTGAGTCTCTCTCACACATACACACACACACTCCCGTCTCTATGGCCAGGCTGTGCTCGCTGAGTCTCTCTCACACATACACACACACACTCCCGTCTCTATGGCCAGGCTGTGCTCGCTGAGTCTCTCTCACACATACAAACACACACTCCCGTCTCTATGGCCAGGCTGTGCTCGCTGAGTCTCTATTTAGTGCCGAATAACATTCCAGTTTGTGTTGGTTTTTAATGGTGTTTGTCCAATGGGTGATGTACTTGTCTTGTTCTGTGGTGATAATTTGTGCGGGCCGAATGTGTGTGAGTTAGGGTGTGTGTGCTGAGGCGAGCTGATCTCTGCAGGAGAGAGCCCAGTCAGTCTCAGCACCCGCTGGCACAGGGGACTCCTCGCTACGCTCAGGTGTGTGTGTGTGTGTGTGTGTGTGTGTGTGTGTGTGTGTGTGTGTGTGTGTGTCTCAGCACCCGCTGGCACAGGGGACTCCTCGCTACGCTCAGGTGTGTGTGTGTGTGTGTGTCTCTCAGCACCAGCTGGCACAGGGGACTCGCTACGCTCAACTCTTGGTGTTTTAGGGCTTTGTAATGGTATGTGTTGGGGTCGCTTGTTTTCAGGTGTTTCCACAATTTGATGGCTCTTTTTTGGATGTTTAGAAGGAGAGGGTATTGGTCTAATTCTGCCCTGCATCCGTTGTTTGGTGTTTTTCTTTGGACTTTGAGTATTCGTTTACAGAAATCTAAATGTAGAGTTTCAATTGGATGTTTTTCCCAATTTAAAAAATCAAATTTGATAGAAGGACCCCACACTTCACTGCCATATAAAACAATTGGTTCAATTATTGATTTGAAAAGTTTGAGCCAAATTTGGATTGGGATGTCAATTTTGATTGATCTTTTTATGGCATAGAAAGCCCTTTGAGCTTTCTCTTTGAGTTCATTCACAGCCAAAGTAAAGTTGCCAGTTGGAGTTACTTTCAGGCCGAGGTAAGTGTATGTTTTTGTGCTCTCAATGGTTCTGTGTGATAGTGTGAATGTGTGTTTTGCTCCCTGAGATCTGGAGCGTTTCTGGAACATCATGACTCTAGTTTTCTGGAGGTTGACGGTCAGGGAGTCTCTGTCAGTCACTGAATAACTGAGTTTGATTGTGAGTCACACATGATATAAACATGTTAACTTTAATAAATTAATTTAGTAATTCAGTAATGATGATCTTCATAAAGCTGGTGAAGTCAGTGATTTGATGTTGTGATGTTTTGATGGCGGAAACAGCATTCAGCAGAGAGTGAGGATACAAATGCAGTTTATTTACAACAAGTATAATCCAAAGTCATAGTCCATATATCAGGCAGAGCGTCAAAACACACGTTATCAGTCCGAACAAAATCCACAGATGCAGACGAGAACGAGAAACCCAAGACTCAGACTGAGAGAATCACCAGAAACAAAGAGACTGAAGAGAATGCTGACAGTAATACACACACACACCAGAACAAACAAGACTTCACACTGAATACAGGCAAAAGACATTTAATAGACAGTGATGAACTAAATGAACCAAGACACGCTGAACAGATCAATAATGAGCAGGAGTTCTGGGAAATAAAGTCCGGGAATAACAGAGTCTCTGGACTGGAGACGTTGATAGACGGTGGGCCGAACGCTGCTATCTGCTTTAGTTTTTGAAATGATAGATCCTCGAGGATAGAGTAGCTGCTTTTTTCACATAAACTAAATAATTTTTTTATGAACACGTATCCGTTTGTTGGCAGTGTCAAGTCGATCATATTTTTTTGAAAACTAAATTTACGTTTAATAAACGGATGAGGCACACGCGAGGGAGTACTATACATCTAACCAATCAAAAACGAATTCTATCGTCACGTGACTAACGTCTGCCAATAGTATTCGTTCAAAATATAGTACCATTACCACGACTGTAGCGTAGCACATGCGTTCTCTATTATGGTTCTCTAGCTAGCTAGATCCATGAGTTCACACCATAAAATCTTCTCAAATGAAATCTACACAATCAAACATTTTCCAGCAGGAATCCTATCCGAAGACGAGAAATATTAACAGCGGCATCCAAGATTCCAGGTGTAATGGCTCAGGTAAATACTGCTGTTTATACCTGTCTTATAACGTTAGCTTAGTGCATGAACTCTGTAAACCGTTAACATAATAGGTTATTCCGGATTATGTTTGTATTTACAGGTAACATTAACGTTACACTAGTTAGAAATGACATACAGATCACAGAGAAGAAAACGTAAACAGAGTTATTCTATCAGGCTGTACAGTAGCGCCATAAATTTTGGATATGAAAGACGAGGATTACTAGACAGAGTAATCTCTCTAATCAAAGACTCTGCTTATTACACACACACTCTGCTTATTACACTCTGCTAATTACACACACACACTCTGCTTATTACACACACACTCTGCTTATTACACACACTCTGCTTATTACACTATGCTAATTACACACACA